CCCGTGTCCCCTGCATCGGTAGGCGGATTCTCAACCACTGGGCCACCACCAGGGAAGCCCCCTTATATCCTTTTTTAAAAGATTTTATTTTATTGAACTATAACTGATTTACAATGTTGTGTTAGTTTCTGCTGTACAGCAAAGTGATTCAGTTATGTATGTATGTATACATACATATATATATTCTTTTTCATATTCTTTTCCATATTCTTTTCCATTATGGTTTATTACAGGATACTGAATATAGTTCCCTGTGTTATACAGTAGGACCTTGTTGCTTATCCATTTTTCCTTTATATCCTTAATTTTAGAAAAGCTGTTCTGCTAGTCCTCAGGTCATTCTCAGAGAGAGTTGTCCTATATGTTGTTGTAGTCTTGGTGTGTCCTTGGCAGGAAGTGAGCTCAGGGTCTTCCTACTCTGCCATCTTGATCCTGCCTACTCAAAATGTTTTATTGTACAAATTTAATGCCTTTTCCAACTTAACTAAGCACTTATCATACACAGTGGCCTTAACTTTTACAGTTGAAGGTCCACCAGCAAAATTAGCACAGATTTTTTTCCTTCTTCACAATGTCACAGAAGATTCGTTCTTACTGTAGATCTTAGCAACTTCACCATACAATTTTTTTCTTTCTTTATTGAGAACTTTCACCTTTTCACTTAAAGAAAGCACTTTATAGCTTCTCTGGCATATCTGAATTGCTAGTATCACTACTCTTGAGCTTTTGGGCCATTATTAAGTAAAATAAGGGTGACTTGAACACAAGCACTATGGTACTAGACAATCTGGTAACTGAGGTGGCTACTAAGTGACTAAAGGGCAGGATATACTGGACAAAGTGATGATTCACATGCCAGGTGGAATGGTGCAAGATTTCATCATGCTACTCAGAACAGCCTGTAACTTAAAAGTTATGAATTATTTCTGGAATTCTCCATTTAATATTTTCAGACTGCAGTTGACTACAGGTAACTGAAATTGCAAAAAATGAAACTGTGGATAAGGGGGAGACTACCGTATCGTTTAACCTTAAAAAACAACAACAAAAAAAGGCCCCGATCACAGAAATGCCTTGGTTTACATCATCTGATCCAACCAGAAGCTCTGTGACATCTCTACCAGTTATGATGTTCAGATTACAAAGACCCAAATTTTAGTGACCAAAGGCAAGGTGCTTGGAACAGTAAATTCAGCATAGTTTCCAGAAAACAGAAATGGAATTGCTGACCAAATAGAAGAATGAGCGATGAACTCTGCCACCAGGCAATAGCAAACTGGACAGAACCAGCAGGATTTTGCCCTATAAAGAAGGCTTCAGGGTAGTAGAAATAACACAGACCCATAGATTTGTAGAACTTTTCAAGGATTAGACTGTCTCCCTAATACATGACTAGACTACAGCTAAGATTATTCTAACCCTTTTTAACAGATGACAATTTATCTTCTCTAACTATATTCACAAGGAGCTATGCTCAATAACTTTTCTACTGAGACACATTATTTAATAGCAGGGAATACAACTAATGCAACCTTTCATGCCACATCCCAGAAAATTTACACTTTTAGAATAAGTTAGAATAAGACCCTAAGGACCCAAACACTTTTTTCTATTCTTAGAACTAGTATGATAAATGAAAGAATTCCAGAAAGGAAGGTCAGCGGTTGTTTGTCGTGTTTGCTGCTCTGTTAAAGCTATCCAAGGCCTTGCAGTTGTGTCTCTGATTACTCTGAATAGGATCTTGCTTCACCTTTGAAAACTCTATTATATGAGTTTGGAAAACTGGATGGTAAAATATTACGAGAAAAATTATATCCTTTAAAACACTCTTAAGGAACCATTTCTTCTAAAAAAATAAAGTAAGCTTAACCACTCTTTTACACTCTGCATTTAACAAAATTTCAAGCCCTAATCTTAACAGAATATATATAGTGAATGAAATGCATGTACCAAACCCCAAAGTTAAATGATTGCAGTTCAAACAAACCTGAAGCCCCTGACAACAGATTTCGTGATATTACCATTGAAGTTTTCACTTCTGTCATTACCATGGCTGCTACAAGTGTAGACACCTTAACATTTTAATATAATAAGCTCTATGGTTGGGGAAAAGCTCGTCAAGTAGTTACACTGACATATTTTAAAGCATACAATTGTCTCATTGTCATGTCACTGGCTAAAATATGCTTTAGAGGATTTTTTTCAAGACTATTTTTAGTATTACTGGACCATAAATTTTCCAATGGGGAGAGATCAAAACCTTCAGAATAATCATGTTCTAGGAATGTAAGGCCATTAAACACTGCAATGCCCTTCATATTTTAGCTGGTTATGCATTAGGGCAGATCATCTCATGACTCTTACTTAAAAGTGGAAAAAAAAAGTATAGTCTTTTTGGCATCAAATTTGTGGTCAGGAAATTATGTCATTTAGTAGAGTATTGAAACAGTTATATAAGGCATTTTATTTAACATGAAAAAGAAATCGATTTTAGTGGTTATAAACATTTCAAAAACAAAGGCTGGCACAAAGCTATGGAACCATTTCCCCACTAAGCTTACGAACCTCAGAGGTATTGCTCACAATATTAGCTTCTTCCTGTAATTCATTTCTGCCAAGCATAATGAAATTCTCACTTTTCGAACAGAGCAGAAAGAGAAACTTGAAACTGTGCTTCATGTATCATCACCAACATGTTCAAAATTTAATAAGAATAAAAGAATAGGAACACACATCTCAAAACGTCAAGGTGTTCCCTTAAAAAAAAGTTATCCTAGCGCTCTCCACAGTTGTAAATGGAGGTAAATTCTCAAACCCACTCAGTTGTTAACTCCTAGACCTTTCTATCAATTTTCTCTGGGCCTCCTTGATCACTGTTTGAAGCCTTTAAAATATGTCTCTACCAGCAACTTAGGAGTGAACTCCTGGGTAGCACCTATAGGTGTGCGTTTTCTTGAAGGTGGTAAGAGCCATAAAGAACATTCAAAGCTTATCTAGGAGGTTACGATGAGGGTTTAGGACTACTGGAATTAGCGGACACCCCAGATTTAAACTTGGCAGACGGTTCAGATGTTTTATTAAATTACATGGGCTAACTGGTGTTTGATGTATTTGTTTTTCGGGTATATATGGGTTATTTAGGTTGACCTAGGGGACATAAATGCCAAAGAGAATTCCTTACTGCCTCAAGTAAAAATAAATTTTATTACAGAGAGGAAAAAGACTAATAAAGAAATTAATGTATCTAAACTTGCATATACTTATTTTAATTACCCAAGTTTTCTGTTCTTTATAGTCACACAACTAGGTACCAAGGAGAATTGTCCTGTGTGACTCCATAGAGTCTCAGGGATGTGGGATTCAAACCTGCCATCATGTGATTTATAGGCCTGTCAAGTCTTACTCACTTGCACCAAAGCTACAAAAGCTGTAAGAAAACAGTTCTTACAAACTACAGACTAATGATTGGGAAGTAATAAAAAGCAAGGGTGTCAATAATAGCTTTTACGGTTCCAATCGAATGCCATATCATGATCATGGGCAAGGAATGACCATCTTTAACTCATAACCTTTACTAAATAACCTTTAAGATTAGCCCAATAAGGGACAGGTTCAAAATATGACATACGCTGTACCTATGATGAAACAGGAAGGTACAGTCAAACTAGCTTCAAGATGCTTTGAGATACTTTGCGTGGAATGGGGAAAAGACAGCCAGAAAAGCTCCATGGAAAACTGGCAGATGGTAACACCAGAATTAAGAGCAACACTGACCGACTTTTAGTGGATTTTTCATCATATCAGGCACTTTTACAAGGATACAAGTTAAGAGTTTTGCTGAGGTTTGGATAAGGAAAATTTGCATCTTCTAGAAGTATCCATTTCCTTCATATGATCCATTACTCACTGTTGACTTTATTGATATTGCCTTGGATTTCTGCTTGTGTCAGCAATTCTTCATATGCATCTCTTTCTTCTTCTGAAATACAGTTATTCTGCAAAACAAAGGCTTCATTGATTCCTGAAGTTAAATATTTCCAAAGCTCGATATTCAAAAGCAAAAACTTAGTGCTAAAAAGCATTTGCTAATATTCATGTGAACTCAATACAAGCATTTAAGAGTGCCTGATCTGTGCAGGGCACTAGGGTTAGCTAAGCCGGCAAGGGTTACAAAGATGAACCACAGACCCAGTGACTCTCTGTAAAAGCCTAACTGTCTAATGTGCAAAACATTAGGTTGGACCACTTGATATTGCCATTTTTTTGTAGATCAAAACCAGATGATTATTGGCAATTTCATCTGATTCAGTCTAATAAAATCAAGAACACAAATAACAAATATACACAGCAGAACAAAATATATTCTAGGGAAGTACATACTTGGTTAGAAAGAAAATTTTAAGAAGAGACAACAGTTGAGGAGGGCCTGAAGAAGAGAGTAATATTCAAGGCGGAGAGGAGACAGTAGGATGTAGACAACAGGATTTGGTCACAAAGGTGGGAAACTTGGCATGTCGGGCTATAGCACAGAGTGTATATCTAGGGTTAGCCAAAAAGATGGGGAGGTAGGTTGGGAATCCTGGAGCCTTTTAATGCCAACAGAAGGACCTGTACTTGCAGTAGGGAATCAGGGGAGGTTTCTGGTGGGATGACATCAGATCTGTAGCTTAAGATTAATTTTGCAACCTTAGCTCTGAGAGGGGGTGGCCTGGAGAATGACAGGAAGCAGTGGGGCCCATGGGGAAGGTGCTGAGACAGCCCTGAGACAAGGTCAGGAGGGGCAGGGCCAAGGCAAGGGCGGTGAAACTAGAAGGTAGGTGATGGAGGTCAGCCTGTCAAGAAAAGGCAGAAGACAGTGATGGATGGGACATGGGGGACATAAAAAGCAACAATGTGGGAGTCATTCCAAAGGGAAGTCAGCAAGAGGCATGCACAGGAGAAAGGCAGGGTGAGGATGAGCACGCTTCTCAAGTGGTGGGGGGCAAAGCCAGTGGGACACAGAGATGAAGGTATCTGGAGGAGCTTTAGTGGGGCCTGGTATCAAGCTGACAGCTGATTTCTTCAACAAGTGGATAGAATGGAGGAAGAACAGAGAGAGGAGTGATTCAATGGCAGACTTGGAAGAATCCCTATATTTGGAGGGAGGAATAGGCAGAGACATTAAAAGATGCAGAAGAGAACCACAAGCATAGAAGGCAGGCGGGGCAGCGTGAGGCAGGTGTGCCAATGTTGGCAGAATCCACCCACTGAGAAAAGGTTAGGATAAACGGGTTACTTTGGGTAATAGAGCTGAAGCTGATATGGCAAGAGTTGAAGGAGAGGAAAGTTGGCGAGAAAGTGGAATCTCGGAGTGCAACGTTTTTAATAAGACAGGAGGTGGGATATATGAAGTGAGGGTCAGTAGCCAGCTGCCTTGTCGAGGAGAGAAACCACTTCCTCAAATATGAGAGGAAACTATGGGGAAAATAGGAGGAAAGCAGATTCAAAAACATCTTCTCTAAACTTCACCACACCCAATTATTAGCCTCTAGTAATAAATCTGAAGGTAAGTTGGCTAATACAAGGTTGGTGATACCTAACAAGGGAAGATCTTTATCTGCTGCTTCTACACCTTCTAGGTAAGTTTTCAACATGACCTTCCATCCTTATGACCTGTAATATTCATCATAAAAAGAAACCTAATTTCCTTATGGAGTGCATGGTCTTCTTTAACCCTTACATTTCACCCAAACCAACGGCCTGTGGCTAGAGAGACCACAGCCAGCAAATATAAAAATATCCCTTGCTGGAAGTTCCCTGCTGGCGTGGTGGTTAAGAATCCACCTGCCAATGCAGGGGACACGGGTTCAATCCCTGGTCTGGGAAGATCCCACATACTGCGGAGCTACTGAGCCCGTGTGCCACAACAACTGAGCCCACGTGCTGCAACTACTGAAGTCCACGTGCTCTAGGGCCCGTGTGCTGCAACTACTGAGCCCGTGTGCTGCTACTACTGAAGCCCATGCTCCGCAACAAGAGAAACCACTGCAATGTGAAGCCCACGCACCGCAACAAAGAGTAGCCCCCACTTGTCACAACTAGAGAAAGCCCACGTGCAGCAATGAAGATCCAACGCAGCCAAAAATAAATAAAATTAAAAAAGAAAATCTCTTGTAACATTACATCTTTTTCAAACTAGCAATGCATAACTATGCTTATTACTATATTGATCACTCAGAATCTCATTGAATACCTTCAGCCTTGCATTTTCCTCTTTTCTCTTCTTGGCTTCCCAGAGTTCCTTCTGATATTCCTGTGCAAGGTTGTCATCCACTAAAGTCAAAACTGCATTTGGGTTTCTTAGTGTTATAATGGTCTGCTCAGCTATTCCTTTTTCAATAGCTTCATTAATGGCTATAACTGCAGCATGTACTGCAAAGTAAAGAGAAAAAAAGAACTTTATCAACAAAAGACAACATGGGCAGGTGTACTGGCCCTGCAGAACTTAAGCAGTTTTACTTTCTTTCTTGGGGTCCGATAAAGCATTCAAAAAAGAGACCTCAGACACATCACAGAGCATCCTCTGACAACCTCCCCACCCGCCCATCTATCTTGGGTCCTGTCTCGGTGTCTGTTATGTAATGCCTGTTCATTTATTCGACTTGCACTGAACGTCTAAAATGAATCAAGTACCATGGGTTGACATGGAAAGACTCACAGCAGTGAGTACCCTGCCACTGAAATTTAAGGACATAGCAGAGAAATGTTTTGGAGAATGAAGACGTTTCTGTAACGTCTTAAATCACATTACACAAGTGGATGTCTAGAGTCCAAAGTTAATTACTTGGTTATGTTCTGATGTGCCCAAATTAACCATCTATAATACATATAATAAAAAATTTTAGGGTGCTTATAATATCTTCTAAATATTCTATTTCTTATAACCAAAATCAAGAATAGGTTAAGTCTCACGTCATTGGCAAGTTTGAATTTTAAGTAGACTTACGTGCAGCTTCATCCACGGACAGTTCATTAGCCAGAATACCACCTATTTTGCTGAAAGATGGCATCTGTATTCCATATTTCTCAAGCTCCTTTCTCATATTACTGATTTCCTCCTCTGAAAAAGAAAAACAACAAAAAAATCAATGAAAGCCACAGAGATGGAGGCAGGAATGAATATATTTGTGTTAAGAAATGTCTTCATCAAGAACGTGGGGTCAGTTCTAAACAAGAACCTTAGGAAGAAGCCAGCCTTGGTTTCTCATTTCACAAATGTGGGGAAACAGAAACCCTATAGAGTATAAACAAGATAAAAAGCAAGTTTTCTCCTCTGATCAATATAAGAAAAAAAAAAGGGAATCAATAATATCGAAATGAAAAAAAATATTACTGCATTTTCTTAATAACCATATTGTAAAAAATTATCAAGATAAGGAATAGTACCTGTGAAGTCTACTTTGCCCAACAAATCCTGGATCTGGGGTGCAATTCCTAGTTTGAACAGATACAAACTGAAAGAGAAACCATAAAACTGTCAGAAACTTTATCATGTAGATCTTAGAGCTAGAAATTACATAAATCTTAAGGGCTTTTTTAGTTGAGAAACACCAAAGAGATCATCTCATCTAATCCATTCATCTTACAGATGAGGAAACTGAGTCCCGAGGTAACACAGTCCCTAGTGGGACCAAGACTAGAAGCCCAGTCAATGTCCCAAAGACTGGTCCTCTGTAGTACACAGCACTTCCACAGGGCCAACTAACCTAATCACCCAGTTGTAGGGAGAAAAAGAAACACAATTAACACAAAACAGCAAGCAACAAATGCAGTAAACATTTCTTTGGATATTATCAACACATGATTTTATTTTGTTTAGAATATAGCTCAAATTATATTTTCCTTTTCATTCCTATATACGCCTCCAAGTACCATATAAACCTTGAGGAAACATTTGTCTTATACATTCTGAAACAGTAAATAGAGTAGCAAGACTACTGGTGGATGGAATGATGTTAAAGACAAACCACGATGTGCATATATTAATAAATGGAAGATGCAGAGCAAAGTGTACATATTTTGAAAAAATTCAATAGGAAGCAATGATGGTCCCCAACCAGCCCATAATTGGATGAAAGAAGCTGGAGTCTGACATCTAAATTCTATCAAAGAAGATGAAAATATATGGTTATACGACTTTTCACTTCATCACTGAGCCATAGTTTCTGATCCATATTTGTCTTAACCTTCCCAGCCCCCAAGATTAATTCTACAGCCCAACTAAAAAATTCTGTATTTACTTAATATCAGTTCTGACAGCTTTATAACTTAGGAGATTTAATAAGAAGTTAGAATTACATATAACATATATGGGAAAATGAACGGAGAATGATTTTGATGGTTTGAAGTACTTCAAGACTCACTTCAGATGTTGATGTGAGATAGATCTTAGTTTATAAAATATAAAATTTCATTAAAGGAGCTGAAGATCAAGCCTTCTTAATGGAATGAAAACTCTTAAAATGAATGATTAATCAGTATAAGCAGCATGCACTGAAATTAAATTTTTTGACCACCTGTAAAAAATAATCACTTCGAAAAGCAATATGTGATCAAAGTTAAAAATTAGTGATCCATGGTTAAAAAAATACATTAGGAAATCATCACCTGGAGTTAAACACTAAATGTTTTGATATAAATCCTTTTAATGTTGTTTCTAGAAATATCTATTCCATAAACTCATAGTATTCTATAATATGAATGTATTATAATTTACTTAACCAATTGCTGAGCATTTAGATGGTCACTAATTATCCACTATAACAAATAATGTTGCAGTGAACCTACCTATATAGATACACCTTTGTGCATATATCTTATTCATCACATAATCCCTATAAACAAAACTGTCAAATTGAAAGGATATATGCACAAAGCTTTCAATATATTTTATCAAATTGTGTTCTTGGAAAGAGATTATACTCATTTATTCTCTGTGAGTAAAGGATTAACAAAACCCCTTTCCCTTCTGCAATAGAAGGTGACGTTTAACTTTCTAGCTCTGTTCCCCCAAGAACGCAATAAGGGTATACTGAAAACCATGCTACCAGGCACCATGGCTTAGGAGAAAAACAACCTCTGACTGGGAAATTTCATCTTGACTAGAAGGAATCATAAATAGGCTTTATACATTTCAGGTGTTCCTAAGTTCAGTGACTCTTATAACTGGCACACTTCTCGCAGGAAACTTGGAAGCCACGCTATGGAGCTGTTGCAATAGATACTGGCTCCTGGGGACTGAGGCTTACAGCCAGGGAGCCTTCTGCAACTATCAATATGAGTCTCACTCCTTCGCACCCAAGTTATCACCTGGGGTACCAAAGAGAACAGCTTCTAGATGGCTGTGTGGACAACTACATGGGGTGTTGGGAAGCCTCCCACTGAAGAGCAAATACTTGATGCTGTCCTGCTGGCAGGTTGCATTTCCTGGCTGCCTCTATCCTTCTGAGCATCTGCTAACCAACATGACATAAGGCAGGCAGTCATAAGGGTCTGAATGTTTAATTGAACCTAAGACCCAGGTGATGGGCATGGCCCCACTCTACCACCAATCCATGAAAGCGCCATTTTCTTTGTCCCCTTAACAGCACCCGACTCTATCAATGAAAACCTTACCTATCGGTAGCCAAAAAATGTCATTTAAGTCTACGTTACATTTTGTTCATTGTGAGGGTAAGCATTTTTCATTCGCGTATTTGGCCATTTCCATTTCTTCCAGGAAACGCATATTAATGAATTTTTGAATTTTCAAGATTGTTTTCTGGGGGGATTTACCTTTCTCTGGTTTTCCCCTCTTTTCCCTCAAAACCACAACCAAAGGACAATGAACAAATGACATTTTAAACATATGGTAATTTTAATTTTACTACTAAATTCCAATATGATATCCATATCTTATTCACAAGGGAAAAACATATTAGACTCTGAAAGTCATTCAATGTAAAACAGACATTATGTATTCATCATTCATTCTTTAGTTTATTTTTATTTTTTAAAAAATTTATTTTATTTTTGGCTGCATTGGGTCTTCGTTGCTGCGTGCAGGCTTTCTCTAGTTGTGACAAGCAGGGGCCACTCTTTGTTGCGGTGTGCGGGCTTCTCATTGCAGTGGCTTCTCTTGTTGTGGAGCATGGGCTCTAGGCGCGCAAGCTTCAGTAGTTGCGGCTCGTGGGCTCTAGAGCACAGGCTCAGTAGTTGTGGTGAATGGGCTGAGTTGCTCTGTAGCATGTTGGGTCTTCCCGGACCAGGTCTCGAACCCGTGTCCCCTGCCTTGGCAGGCGGATTCTTAACCACTGCGCCACCAGGGAAGCCCCCATTCCTTAGTTCAAATTCTAGGTCTTTAGAGATTGTCAAGGATATAAAACTATACAGCCGCTAAAGACTTTACTACCAAACGTTCATGCCAAACAAGTCATTGTAATTAAAACTAGTATGCTGACATTTCCAAGACCATAATATTTTATGAACCAATTCACTATTTATCACATGGGAAAAATATTCCAGGTAAAAGGGAGCTCATGTCATGTGGAACAAATAAAATGTCAAGCTAGTCACACGTTCCTTTCTAGTAACAGGAATGACAAAATTCAACAGAATTATACAGACAGGTATGGCAAAGCTACAAAAGAATTCTGGGAAAATAAAATCAAGCCATATTTGAAAAAATAAAAATAGATCCATAAATTATCAAAAATGTATCATTTTATTACTTCCATTCTTTCACAGTACCTGTAGTTTCTTCTTCCCTTTTACAACTAAATTAAAAAAAAAACTGAACTGACAAAAAATAAAAATAATTCAATGGGAAAAACTTTGAAAATGCATCAGTAAAATTTAACTAGGGGACACCCATAAAATGTCTTCTAACAAATTTTATATATGTGTGTATTTATGATGTGTATTGCATTAATATTCTGCTAGTTTTAACATACTTTAAACTATTCTTGCATCAAAGCCTAAGCTAATGAATACTTACTATCCTTAATGTATTTCTACTTCTATTTCCCCACCTATGTAATGTTGAGATAATCTAGAATTTTAGATGCATTTTTTAAAATAAATTTATTATTTTATTTATTTATTTTTGGCTGCGTTGGGTCTTCATTGCTGCACGTGGGCTTTCTCTAGTTGCAGCGAGCAGGGGCTACTCTTCGTTGCGGTGCGTGGGCTTCTCACTGTGGTGGCTTCTCTTGTTGCGGAGCACAGGCTCTAGGCGTGTGGGCTTCAGTAGTTGTGGCACGCAAGCTCAGCAGTTGTGGCTCACGGGCTCTAGAGCGCAGGCTCAGTAGTTGTGGTGCATGGGCTTAGTTGCTCCGTGGCATGTGGGATCTTCCCGGACCAGGGCTCAAACCCATGTTCCCTGCATTGGCAGGTGGATTCTCAACCACTGCACCACCAGGTAAGTCCCCTAGATGCATTTTCAAATTTTCATATTATGCACCAAAAGTTTAGATAACTAAATTTTATTAGTTCCTTTTCTAAATTAATCTACATCCAATTTTCCTCTTTCTTAGTTGTATCTTTGGTTTTGCTATGTATAAGCATATTTGCTAAATAGATAAAATGAATGACTCACTAAGTGCACATATTTTACTGGTTTCATTTGTTCCTTGGGTGTTGGTTCTGTTTGTTGAATGTAATTCCTCTTTCATAGCGTTGGTTTCCTTCAAATGTCTGGTATTTCCTGATTTGGGGAAATCTTAAGGTTTGACTTGTTGCTTGTCACTGTTGATTGCAGGTCCCCATGACAGAAGCCAGCCTTAGGGAGACAGTAGGGGAACAACGGGGCTGATGCCCAGAGGGTGCCCGGTGTCTTGTCTTCTTAGATTGGGGTTCCCTGTGTCTTCCTGCAGTCATTAGCTACCTTGGGTACTCGTGTGCTACCCTGCCATCAGCAACTACACTTGCTGCCTTAGGGAAGGATCAGAGGGCTCAGCGGGTCTAAGCCCAGTTCTGCTAGCTTAGGGGCTCTCCTTTTCCATCTCTGCTTGGAGCAAACCCCACAGCAGCTCTGAGCTCTGCTGCAATGGCTCAGTGGTTTCTGGGCTGTGGTCTTCTGTCTTATTTCTCAGTCAATCCAAACCTATCTGTTCGCTTTCTGTCAAGGGTTATCTAATTTTCTGATCAGCGGATAGCATTCTTTCTTACTGCAGATAATTAAAAAAATAAAACAAAACCAAACCAAACCCACTACTTTAGCCATTTCACGTCAGTTTTGTAAAGAGAAAGACAACCATGCTCAAATATCTTGACAAAACGGTTTCCACCGCATCTCCTTTGTTTGCCCGGTCATTCATTTTATTATTATTTATGGAATATCTACTGTACAAAAAATATTTTACTCTACTGTGCTGTCCCTAAAATAAAGGTATTTAGTCTTCCACACAACATAGGTTTGTTGGTAATATGAACTAACTTAATTACACTAACAAAAGTGTTAATGTTCCCCTATGGT